TAGGAACGTTGGAGTCCTCCATCACTGAAGCAAGCAAGCCTCATGTTAGTTTCAAGCTGCCTGTCTGCCGGCCGCCATCTTGATAGTTAATTTGCATATAGCCCTGATTAGCCAATGGGAAGGGTAGCCAATTACCATGTTTCTCTTTTATTAGATAGGATTAGTAGAAGCCTGGAGCATAAAATTCATGCACTGGGGGGTGGGGGTCCCCTTCGCCTGCCTGCAGCGGAGGCGGGAGAGGCTCCTGCCACCACTGGTGTACTCACTACCCGTGAGCCCAGCTTCTGGCTGAGTGGCACTCCCCCTGTGGGAGCACACTTACCACCAGGGGCAGCTCCTGCATTGAGCGTTTGCCCCCTGATGGTCAGTGCGTGTCATAGCAACCGGTTGTTCCACTGTTCAGTCGATTTGCATGTTAACCTTTTATTATATAGGAGGATTGTATAACTTTCTATATGAACAACTGTTAACCCTTTCTCCCACCCTGTATTGTCAAGCAAACTGTCTAGAACCCAAAATGGCAGATAGATTTCTCCTCAAATGGCAACTCTGCAAAGGAAAATGATGGCAGCTTGGACCTATGAGGTGAAGAAAAGTGAAGTCAAGTCACAGCTGGCTGGGAAAAAAGAGTCAAAGATCTGCCAGGTGTGAAATGCCTGTCTATTAGGATCTTATCAATTAGGTGCAAAATGCTTCAGGTGTGAAGATAATTAGCGTAAGCCCTAGAACAGTGGTTCTCAACCTTGGCTGCACATTATAATCACCTGGGAATCTTTTTAAAATCCTGATTTCTGAGCCTCATCCTCTGGAAATTCTGTTTCTTTGTTAAAAGAAATGAGAATTTGTTAACATGCAAATCAACCAACAGTTTCTTTGTTAAAAGAAACAATTTCCAGAGGATGAGGCCCAGAAATCAGGATTTTAAAAGATTCCCAGGTGATTCTAATGTGCAGCCAAGGCTGAGAACCACTGCCCCAGAAGTGCCTCAGAGTGAAGTTTCTCATTTAATAGGG